GCCTTTTGGATTTACCAATACCACCTTCAACCTTTTTCCTGTTTTCAGGCATTATTTGTGCAAATTTATCTCGGTTTTCTTTGATAATTTATTAGCATATAATTGAGCTTTTGAAGAACATATGAAACATGTGAAGATTCAAAGTGTTAATTTGGGTGTGTTGAAGTGAATTACTTAGGAGTTGGGACATATCATCACCAAAGATAGAGCCTCTATGGGCTATAAAAAAAATAATTAAGGGCATGCTTAATAAGCTTAAGATGACTTCCATTAGGATTTACATAGGTTTTTGAGCTTGGAGGGCTATTATAGGAAATTGATCATGAATATGGTAAAACTGTAAGCCTGCTTATTTCATTGCCAAAGAAAAATTAATATATGGGTAGGTTAGACCCATGAAATTGAGTTAGTTTGGATGGAGTACAAATATAAATATGTACAGTTTAAATACATACAAAATATAAGATTTTGCACCTTCTATATTTGTATTTGTAAAGAAAACCAAATAACACAGGCCCTAGCCTTCTTATCTTTTTCACAGGTTACAGCTATTAATGATTGAATTTAGGGCCATTATTTGATGTGACAGTAAATTCTAACAAGTATGAGAATGTGGATTCGAGTTCGAGAACAGCCACTTTGTCTAACAACTTTTCTATTTACAGTTGAATGTGATGCTAGTGGAAGTGGAATCAAACAATTTTAGTGCAAAAGGGCACAGGCTCATTGCATCAACGAGTCATTCCCTATATGGACACAAACACAAACCAGGATTATCCACACACAAATAACAATGCCCGTTATTATTCACTTAGAAATGACAATCATATTTGTTAGGAAGGGGGTTCATGATCTGAAGTCTGAACTGATGGTTGATTTCATATTGTCATTCTAGAGGGTAAAGAAATCCAGACTTGAATGAGCAGCATAATTGTTAGGTTTGCACCTAAGACTTGGTTTGAAAAGGGTACAGATACAAATATATACAAAATATAAGATTTTACACTATAAATTTGTATTTATGCTCCTTTTCCAAACTGAGCATAAGGTACTATATGCGCAACCATTAAATTTGCAGCCTTTATGACTAGAACTTGTAGATCAATTGATCATTTATAAGCAATGTCGTTATTGTTATTGCAAGAGCCAGGCCTGATTTATCCCAATTTTATTACAAAATCCAGGCCTGTCTTAATAGAATATAAGCCGGGTGCAGGCTTTATCAAGGTTGGGCAAAAAACTAGACCTTGTACACCCCTATCCACCCTTAATTTTGCTTTTTTATTAATTCGTCCATCTCATAACTTTTTATTGATTTATATAATTGAGAACAATGAAGATATGAGAATCTACCAAAGTACAAGACAAATAATGCCTTAAAGAAAAATGGGTGTGCTGTCTTGATTGAATTTGAAAGGATTCCTTCAATCAAAATGACTAAAAGCAAGAGTTCTTTCATGCATGGACAGTAACCTTTTAGCTTCCTTTCTATATATTTGGCAGTGTCCCATAAACCCTTCATTCCTTTTTTTGGATAAACATCCATTAGCAATTTGAACACAAAAAGATCTGAGTCAACATGCACTCAAAAAAACAGCCTGAAAGCATTGGCAACAGCAAATGGGCTTCAGATATCCATAAGCCGGAGGAGGAATCAATTTTCTATCCTGCTAGCTAGATTTCGACATTTGGGTGGCCTTTGAATGAATTTGGGCTTATTAGCTATTATTTTACTCATGCTTCTTCTGAGGCTTAAAAGCTTGTGGGTCCCAAGCTTACTCTTCAAATGGGTTCTGAATTAAAATATAAAAGCCCTCAGAATCTTCTTTTTGTCTACTTTTTTTTTTGTCAAAGAATAAAGAGAGATAGATAGAGATGTGAAAATCATCATAACCCAAGTTCAGACAAGGCAGGGTTCTATTGTGGTTATACCCTATGAGACTGAACTTTATCATCAAATCATCCCTCCCCTCTTCCACCGAGGAGAGGGATAGAGATGTGAAAAATTTAGTAGTTCAGTCCACTCCTAGGGTGGAACTAAGATTTTTAGGGGTGGATTGAATCCTATCCGTGGATTGATGTCAAATTTACAAATAAGATGTGATTTATAGGAGAAATTACTAGTAGATTAAGAAAGGGCTGCAATTCAGATTTCTGAGCTGGATTGCAGTCCACTTATCCCAAAAATTTAAGAGGATAATTAACAAAAGCCTTGTCATGATTGTCGACCAAAGGGAGAGTTGAGTGTTTCAGACGTAAAGCTGCTTTGTTTGTGCGGTCTATCTGGAATGTCTGCTAGCCTAACTGCTTTGTTTGTGCGGTCTATCTGGAATGTCTGCTAGCCTAACGTTAGCCCAAGAAGATATATAAAGATAAAGAGATAAAATAGTAATTTGAGAAATGCCTGCGCTTTAATATATTGAATTGGACGGTCGAGAAGCCACTTTTTTTAGAACCCTTTAGAAGAAAAAAATTGAAAATCAGATGGTCAGAAACAATTTAATTTTGCTGACTTTTGCTGTATTAAAATCCTTAAATCTTGTTCAATGCAAGGGTCAAAATATCGATATATCCGATATTTTGTTCAATGAGTGTATTGGGCAAATCGATACAGCTTTTGGTGTTCTTTTTTTTTTCGCAACTGGTTCAGGGGAGCCAGTTTAGGCCTCCTCCACACTTTGAATTGGTCAGACCCCGATACACCCACTGTAGGGCGTATCGGAGGGGTCCCGAAACGATACGTATCGGCCGATACGAGCCGATACATGTCGAAGGAGTAAAGTATTTATCATTAAAATATCATGTATTGATATCTTATTTGTGGTTATTGGCCATAAATTTAGTGTTATTGATGTATTTATGGAATCTGCATGTATTTATCTTGTATATCCAAACGTTTCTAATGATAAATATGTGTCGATATGTGTCGAACAGTATTTTAATGATAAATATGAAGAAATGTTTAGCAGAGTGTATAGATATCATAAAATTTTATTGGTAATCCATTAATCAAGAGGCCAAGACTCAAATTATATAAACTTTTAGAAATTAATACATGGACAAAGCCATTATTATGTTATATTCTATTTTAAGTCCAAGACAAAAACATATTTTTAATTACTATATCAATTACTTTTATTTTATTATTTTACTTTTTAACATTAACAACAAGATCAACTAAATATTAAATTTTCAAGTGTTTGGTAAATAATACTTTTTGTTGTTTTAAACAATAAATATAACTGTAAATTAAAATATCAATTAATAATTTAAAAAATTATATAAACTTAACTTAAAATATATCAAAGCTATTAAAATTTCTAAGATACATATCTTGTACAAATTCATAGTTTTTAATTAATAAAATAATTATTCCATTATTAACATCTTTATTTCTAAAAATTTTATAAAATAAAACTTCATTTTTCATATAAAATGTAGATTAGTGGATTTGATAGATTCTATTTAATATTACATTCTTGAATATTTTTGTAATCAAAATTTGTATTTTTGTAAATAATAAATATGTTATTATTTAGTGTAAATTAAAATATTAATTAATAATTTATAAAAATATATAAAAATTTTCAGATACATATCATATGAAAATTTATAAATTTTAAGTCTATTTTTAATATTTTTATTTGTAAACATTTATTGAGAGTAAAACTCAAATTTTGATAGAAATGTAAATTTGATGGATTATTTATTCCATTAACATTTATAAAATACTAATTTTTAATATTATTCCTTTTAATTTTATATTGGAGTTGTTGAACATAAATAAATTGTATTTGTTTGAATTATATGCTACAATAAAGTTAACAAAATTTATTTTATTTCATTTATTATTAGAAGTTGTGAGGTGACTTAATGGGTCCACGCTTTAGGTGTTAATGACTTGGGTTTGAATCACCCTAATTCTACAATTAATGGTTGTAAGATCTGCAGATAAATTCAGATCTACTGCCAGCAAGGAGATCATATCAGCGCCCCACATGCATTGGGAACATCTTCCCTGTTGGGCCCCCTCCCTAATCTATTTATTGGGCAGTGCCGGCTGCCTGCTACAGTGCAGACAGCACGACAAACCGGTGCCATACCAGCCTGGCCCGGCCCACATCACACTCCAAGAGAGTGATCATGAGGCCAATTTAAGGGGGTGTTTAGTTTTATGATTGTTTCTAAGTAGACACAGTGTCATATATGGTTTAGAGTTCAATGGTGAATTTTCTGTTTGGTTGGAGTCTAGCTTGAGCCAAGATGAGATTATAAATCACTTTGTATAGAAATCAATATCAGGTGGTGTTTGAAGAAATGCCTAAGTGTTTTTCTCTGCTATGAGAATTGAGAGGTAAAATCTCAATACCAAGGTTATTCAAACCCATTCCCTTTTGGGAGATCGGCTTCCGTCAGGGCAAGTCCATGCCCACACCGTTCCAACCGCCTTTTGTAACCTTGCATTGGGAATATCTCCCCATGAAATAAAGCACATAAGCAGGGAGATATTCTCGATGCAAGGCTGTAAAGGTTACTCGAACAGACTTTGCCCTGACCGAAGCCAAATACCCCTTTTTTTGATAGGCTGAATCATGGAAAACATTCTCATTCTACCAATCTCTATGCCTGTTCAAAGTTCTAGTTGAGCTTCACAAGACATTTTAAAGCCCGGTTTGGTTCAAACATATTATATGGGCTGACGATCCAGTGGCTGAGATGGTGAGTCGGCATCCCTCCAAATATGGAGGCACGGGATCAAGCCCTTGTAACTGCAGGCTCTCCCCCGTAAGAAGGTTAATGGATATCAGGTGTATCCTACTGTCTCCACGCCTTAATTGTTAATTCCCCTGTAATGTGTAAAATGAAAGTAACACCAGAGAAGAAGTGTAAATTTGAGGAAGAGGGAAGTAAAAAATTCTTGAATGTTTTTTTTTTATGTTTATTTCAAATGTAAACTGTTGAATATATATATATATGTACATCAGTACAAGAAACAGAGATAAATATTGTCGGATTCAGGTTGCCAATAATCTTAACCTGAGCCCGAATGAAGGGGTAGAAACTATAAATCCTATTTCAATCCATCATATAATCGGATTGTTTCAGTCAGATAGTTGACCCGACTTCAATCACACTCTTAGCTTCTATAAGATCAGTTGCAAACTCTACCAAAATTTTGAAAAGCATGATGAAACCCTGCCTAAAAGATGAACAAAAGAAAAGAAAAGAAAATAAAGAACAAGGAAATACACAAGTCAAAATTTCAAAATCTCAACACTGTTGAGGTCAGATTGAGCAGGGGTTCCAATGCACTAGGAGCAAACTTCCTTGCAAAGAGGTAACAAACAAGTGTCTGCTCTGAATTATATGAACACGTGGTCCCGTTATTTTTTATAGACTGTATAAATCCTTCTGTAATATCCTCCTTCCCAAAGGTCGCTGGATGTGGACCCCCTCTTGACCAATCAACCCAAGTCACACTCCGGTTTGCATTCATGGATCCATAGAACATGTTCAGGAAAGTAGGCAGGTAATGCTCATCAGGGTAGCAGGAAGGCTTACAATATTTCCTGAAGAGGGAGTAATACTTGTCATCTGCAACTATATTCACAGCCAAAGTACGGTTGAGTTCAAACCACTGTGACCCTTTCCGCCATTGGAAGAGCTTAATGTCTGGTAGCATTTTGCGGCTGTAACGACCACGCCCATAACGGCTTGGATCATCATAGGAGTCAACAAAGCTATAGGCTGAATTAATCAAGTATTTGTAAACAGTGAGGAAGTCGTAGACTGGTATGCAACTCTCAGAGAGTAGAACAAACCGCTCATTTGAGAAGTCAAGCAGGGCATTAGCTAGAAGTCGTCTCTCTCCATCTGAAAGTGTTACTGATCCCCATTGAACATCCTGGCACAGAACAGAAAGATAAGAACCAGAATGTCACAGTTGCAATTGATAAAGAATTTTAACAGAGGAAATTCGGGAAAAGAAACAAAATGAACCAAAAGAGAACATGGAAAAAAGATGATAAAAAATTAAAAATTGAAAAAATTACACAAAGTACAAGAAAAGGAGAAATAGAGAAACATATTTCAATTGATTCATCTGACTTGTGAGTAGATCTCTTCAGCTAGACCAATGATACACTCTTCTTTAAATTCTAAAAGCTGCATCCTTTCTACCCTCTAGATTTTCCTGGGGATTCGGGGGTTGTGAGTACATATAAATTGTTTTGGGCATTCTTATGTTTAACAATTACTTGGCAGCAAGTGTCTGGGATGAATATTGTTTTGGAAGAGGTAAGTAAAGATCATTCATTTTGTGGTTTGGAATACTCAAGAGGCAATGCTAGCATTTTCTACATTTACAAGAGGAAAATGAGGGTAAGTATACTAAGATGGTTTAGGCACATGAAGAGAAGACCATCTACAGCACCTGTAAAAGAAGTGATCAGTTACAATTTGATGGGGCTAGATTAGAAGAGCTAGGGGCACACCAAAAAGGACGTGGATTGAAGTAGTGAAAATTGAATTTAGGGCTCATAGTTTAGCAATGAATTTGGCATTGAATGGAATGGAATGGAATAGTGGCACAGCTTTCATGTAGCCAAGCCAATATAGTTGCAACAAGGCTTAGATGATGTAATGATGACAAGAGATATATGCGACCACTTTAGTGTGATCATTCATGTAAGAGTGCAAATATGGGTACCCAAAAGAAACATTCTAAGTTAGTTAATATTCAAAACTGTGAGGTTGAGCATGAGCTCTTTAAGAAAAGGAGTATGATGAAACAATCAAAAGGAAGGAAGGAGGAAAGGATTTCTGCTGTAAATCAATACACCCATGTAAGCCAGAAGAAAACAAGAAAGAAATCATAGTGAAGGGGTAGCCTGTGTCATGTTGATATCATAGTAGAATGTTGCCTTGAGCAATGGAAGGAGGCCTTATGGCAGGCTTTAGCAATAAGGAAAATGGCCAATCCACAGCCTTATTACAGTTTATAGACAATTCTACCTTATAGACATATGTTTTGAAGCCATTTCAGGTCTAAAAATAAATCTGACAAAAAGCAAGCTAATTCCAGCAGGAGATCTTGCAAAATAATTAGAAGCTACACTGGGCTGTGGAAGTAGTTCCCTCCCAACTTTGTGGGGATTCCCTTAGGAGCCAAATATCAATCCAAAGACATTTAAGATCCAGTTATTGTTAGACAGTGTATGCCCTTAGCTCCAATCAATATGATGTACATTATGAAATTTATTGTAAATAAATAAAGTACATATTTGATTCATGTTATTATGGTGTGTTTCTGTGTAATACCCTTAAACTGGACACATATGAGACTCGTGTTAGTTTAGAATCTTCACAGTCGTTGGATAGATCTGGGGAGATTAATCA